GCCTGTCAGCCAATCAGAAGAAAATAGAGCTCTCCAAAGAGGAAAGTGTCGCCCGTCTTCTCCCCGGCCCCGCCCTGCGGGTCAGTGGTCGCTGCGGGCCAGTGGTCGCTGCGGGCCGGAGGAGGAGCCAGCCAGGGGGTCCATCCCGTCAGTCCCGCCCCCCGGGGCGAGAGGGAATTCGGGAGCAACCGAACGTGCTAACGGAACTTAGACGAAGGAGGCGGGGCCTGAGTCGCCCGTACTCCAATCAGCGCCTGGCGTGGGTACAGCCCAGCCAATTGTGGCCCCGAAGCTGGCGGGGGCCGAGACCGCTCTGGCCCGCAGGCCCAATGGCTGGGGAGGAAGCCGAGCCGAACCGTTGGGGGCGGCAGGGCGGGGCTGCGCCCGGTCGCTTGTTTTCCGTCGCGGTCGCAGCGCGATGACGTAGTTTCCCCGACATTCCGTGTCCAAAATGGCCACAGTCGGCGAGGAGAGACGTCGCTAAGGGGCTTGCCTGAGGCGAGGGGTGAGTGACCGACGGATCGCGGACAGCGCCGCTCATCCCCGCTTACTTGGAGGTCGGAGTAGGGTATGACCTCTTTCCTCCGCTTACTGGCGGAGTCTCTCTTTCCGGATTCCGCCTCGCTCCGCTATCCCCCGTGCAAATCGAAGTTAGTGGGCGACAGCGGGGCTGCGGGACGGGCTTCGGGAGAGGGTCTGAGGAACAGGCGCGAGGCAGGGAGGTCGGCGCGGACCCTAAAAACAGGCAGCGACCCTCGGAGTGAGGGGCGGCTAGGGTTCGGGGACTTTCTAGCAGGTGGGGAGAAGGGGCGGGGGTCTTTTCACACACGCGCGCGCACACTCTGAGCCGCCCAACCGCAGACTACCCACATCTTCCCGGTTATTTCGCAGCGTGCCGGTCCCTGTCGTGGTTAGGCCTGGGACTTCGGGAATTATTCCACATTTGGGGTACTCCGACTTGGGAGTCTGAAGAACCGTGTAACAGGGTGGGACTGGGAATGAGAAAAAAGCACTTCCGCGATTAGATTCGTTCTTTCCGAGACGTGGTCCTTAACCGATCCTCTCCTGGGTTTGGTTTGTTACTAAAGGACTTGTTCTTTAGCAAGTTGAGGCGTAAGTCTGGAGCTTATGTAGAAGCTCTTAGCCTGTTACCAGCACAAAGTACGGTCGATAAAGCTCCCTCAATTTGGATTGCAGTTAAACCGTGCTTTCGCCAAATCATCCGACGTTAGGCACGACTTCTAAGAGCAATTACTTGAGAGTGGTGGTCTTCTGTGTTTTTAAGGTAAACTTGATAATGCTTATGTGTCTCGCTCTAAATCTCTCTTTAGAGATATTTAGCATAGTGCCTTTCAATTGTAGGCGCTCTTTAAAGGTTTGTATGCATGATGTTGCTAGAATGAAAACTCTCTGAGGAGCTTTGTGTCCTCAGCACCTAGAACACTGCTGAGGTATAGTAAGCTTTCTACATTGCTGAATGATGGTAGAAGCGGTGGTATTGATCGACATTTTGGTTAAGATTGTTAGTGTCCTTAGGATCTTGCCTGTTAAATAATCTTGACTATAAATATAAGAGTTATCCAGGATTATTTTCTTTTCTTTTCTTCAGAGTGACAACTATTGATAATCTGATTTTAAGGGGGGATTTGTCTCATTTTGATTATATTGTGATGCATTATTCAAACAGATTGATTTTTTTAGTTGATTCTTGCATAAAACATATTTAACATTTGTTGCATTTGAAAATGTAGTTTGCACCAACAAGCAATAAAGAAACATTCTAGTTGCTAATGAAGTCCATAAATGCCACTTCTGAAATTGAATGTCATAAAGAAGAAACTGGTCTTAGTTTTGGCTTACGAAATGAACTACTTTACTTCAGGAGATTATGTTCAAAAGCATGGAGTTCGCTGAGGAAGAAGAATGTTTTGTTTGCTTTGTTTGTGCTCGCTTCGGCAGCACATATACTAAAATTGTTTGCTTTGTTTGTAAAAACTGGGTAAGGACAAACAGCCAAAAGGAATTAAGTTCAAGGTAATTGAGATTACAAAGAATATTAAACCGGGTTAAATTCAGTTCATATTTTTAGGGTCAGATAAATGATATACCAGAGTACTTGCAGGTAAAATTGTAAAATTGTTGTTTATAGGTTTTGAGAAATCCAAAAAGCACAGTTAATGATAGAAGACTGGAGTCTGGTAAATGTCTGTGTTTGCAGAGAGCAGTTAGATGGGTGACTTTTGGATGCTAGAAATTGTTAATAATCTATTTTAGAATCTTGTTGGGAGGGCAAAAAGAGAGTTTGTAAATACTTGGGAGAGGAGAGCTGATTCCTTCAAACTGGCAGAGTTTTAACTAAAAAAAGCCAGGTGACATACATCTAATTACTTTCCTTAGAAGTTTACTATACCCTGGTGATGAATGAGGGATTGTTAGACATGGATCCATTCAGGTTTCCTTAGGATGTTGAACGTAATCTCTCTTCCTATCCTAGTAGACACGAGAGATAAATGTACATTGGGTAAGGTCTGTGTGGATGGATTTATATCCAGTCCAATTACCCAACCCAAAATGTTGATTAATGGGTTGATGTCAGCCTGAAGAGAGGTCTTTAGAGATGAGCTACAGGGCTCTGGTCTTGCCCTTGCTCTGGTTAGCACTTTCTTATTACCAACTTTAAATATACAAGGCATGCTTCTCGGATTAATCAATGCACTCAAAAGCCGTACTATAAAGAATTGTTAAAGGTTGAAACAATAGGCCAAAACTAACAAGATGTACATTTGCCAGGTTGAATTTACAAAAACTCAATTACGTGTATTTGAGATAAGCAAGACCTGACTTGAAAAAGGATTCTAGAAAGTAATGTTCCATATAAGGAAGTGAAGTATAGAATTTTCCCCAGATTGAGGGAAAGCAATATCTTCGTCTAATGACAAATTGTGGCTCTGCCATTTACAACCTTTGTGAATTAAGCAAGTTGTTTCATGTCTCTTCGGTTCTATTTTCTCCGCGATAAATTGTGAGGATAGGAAAATATAGCTGGCAGGCATACTGTGTCTCAGTGGGCACACAATGGACATGGTGTTGAATATTAGGAATCTCCCTTCCCCATTTGCTATGAAGATCATATAAAAAGTGCTGTTTTCCATTTTGGTTGCTAACGTTTAGGGGTTATCTTGAAACACTAAAAACCATGTTGAGAAAATAGAGATGTTTGTTTACCCTGGAGAAGAGAAGGGAATGGAAAAATTCTCTTCACGTATTCGAAAGGCAATCAGATAAGGGAAGGGTATTTTCAAGGGTTAGAGAGCAAGGTAGGAGCGTCAGAGTGTTGTTGAAAGGTAGAAAAATCAATGTAAGATTAATATAAGAATTAAGGTGAATACTAGTTCTTGATACTCAGCAATGCCATAGGCTGTCTGGTAAACCATTAACGTCCCATTAATGAAAGTGGCCAGATGAAGGTTAGTGAGTGACCAAATGTTACTGTTAATTAGAATTTCCGTGTTAGGTGAGAAAATTGAGTAGTGACATTTACTGTTGTTTCCAACTTGTAAGTGTCCATAATTGTAAATTTGAAAATGCATTTATTCTTTCATCATGTAAAATGACATATCCAAAGCACATACCTGAAACATGTTGCTAAAATCCTTTGACATGCTGCTTGTTTATTGAGAGATTTTTTTTACTTTGTGGAACTCATAAACGTCTCTGTCATTTTCACAGTAATCATGAGCTGCTAATGAGAAAATCTGTAATCTTAGGGTCTTGTGAAAAAATAAAGAGTAATAGGGAACAGGGTTATAGAACTGATGTAAGAACTTTTTCAGGGGGATGGATGATACAGAGGACTGTTTTTATTCTATTTGTGTACGTTTATTTTCACTTCCTCTCATGTATTGTTGATTTGGCCCCAGAGTCTAAAGGCACCTACGCTGGATCATTAGCGTGGAGTTTGACCACTGACAGCAAGGCCAAACAGGCTTGAATCTGTTTGTGGCTTATCCACTGGGGGACTGGGATTGTCTTCCATTTGTGCTTCGCCCTCCCTGGGTCCGAACCCTTGTCCTCACTCTGCCCCTGTCGTCTCAGTGGGTGTCTTGGCACTCTACTTCCCAGTGGAATTTTAGGATTTATTTCCTCCCCCTTAAATGAGTTTTTCCCAATATCTTCCTCAAACTTTTCCTTCCCTCTGTCTCAGAGAAAGAGCTTCCTTCCTGAGGTTAACTTTTTTACCTATGCTTTTTATGATCCCTTGGCCAGTGAACCCCTCAGTGGCTTATTCAGCCTCTAGTGGCTCTTTCCCTTCTTGCTTCAGACATCCTTCCTTCTTTATGCTGAATAAACAAGAATAACCTGTTTCATAGCTTATTCATTCCTTGCCCCTTGTAGTCTTCTGCCCCACTGCACTTCTGCAAAGATTCTGCTATTTGTGCATGTGTGTGTGTCTGCTTTATTGAGATGGTTCACATACCATACAAATCACCTGTTTGAAATAGTGTGCAAGTCAGTGGCCTTCAGTACAGAGTTGTGCAGCCATTACTACAGTGGACTTTCACTGTCTCCAAGAACTAATCACCAATGTAACCTTTCCTTATTTCTTGGTTCTCTAACATTTGTCACTGTTGCCTGCCATATCTGGGTTACGGTCAGTATCCCTTGGTTTCTCTTGCAGTTGAAGTTGCAAATTTCCCACCTCTTTGACCATTCCTTCCCTTTCTTTCCTTTGGTGATTCTTCTGCATTCTCAAGTTCTGTCCCAGACCCCATCCGTTTTCACTCTCCAGCCCTCTACCTGTGACCATGACTTTAATTGTCAGTTGTGTATAGATGAATCCCAAATAGATGTGTTCTTTCCAGATTTCAACAGTCCTGTTTATCTGATGCGTATTTCCATACAAACGTCTTACACGTTCTTCAAACCTAATATTTTTGGAACCAAAATTCTTCTTCCCGCCCCAGGTCCCCCCCATTAAACTAACCCCTTCTCTTCCCACTTTTCTTTTTAGTATGACCCTTTCCATCAGGCAAACAAACTTGAATCATCTCTTGCCACTTTTTTTGCCTCACAGCCAGTTGTGGTGCTTCCTCTTTTACTCAACACTATGTTGTGGGGACAAGCCCTCATCATTTCTTGAACAGCTACTATAGTCTCCTAGCTGGTCTTCCTCCTGCAAATCTCCAAACAGCCTCCACTTCATCTCTCTCTCCCCTTACCAGGCCTTATTATTTTTCATGGCACTTGCCACTCCCTGACAAGTAATCACATATTTGTTTCTCTTAGTCTCTACCACTACAACATAAACTTGTGGTAGGGCAAAGACCTGGCCTCTCGTTTCCTGCTGTGTCATTGCGGCCTGGCTCATAGTAAATAATAAATATTTGAATGAATAACTACATGGAGAACTGTTGGGTTAATATATCTTAAAGTAGGTATTCCCAACTAGTGTACCGTGAATAAATTACAGATAGTTTGAGATATTGATTCCCTCAAGCCAATTGG